TAGGAAGAAACCATGAAACCCAATTAGTTGCATTAATCTGCTTTGCAATTTTTTTTTTTTAATTTAATGTGCATTCCTGAAGAATCAACCTATTTTTCCCAGCTGGAGAGGGGCTGTCCTTGAGCAGAAGCCACAGCACACACACAGTCTGTGCTGCTCCTTTGTCACTGTCCTGGTGTGACCCAGATTCACAGGGGATTTGTCACCACTCTGGGGAATGAGACCAAACACGGCCCATCCACATTTAGGGAGGTTTTGTAGCACTGGCCTCACCCTGGGCTTTTATTTGCCCTGGATGGGCTCAGGTGGACCATGTGTAACTTGTAGACTCTTTTCTGCTGCTGGGGAAAATTGGGACAGATAAATACATCTGAGAAAAAAAACCCAAAACCTGGAAACAGTTTTCCCTCTAGGAAAAAGGGAAAGCCATCTGAAAAAACAGCCTCTTGGTAAGTTCCCTAAGAAAGTCTGGAGCTCTTAATATTTTTATAACTACTTTTATCCCTCTCGTAGGACAAGAAAAAGGGAAAACACGACCAGAATTTGCATTTAGTTGCTTGCAAAAGGAATAATTTAATGGTCTAAATTTAATTCTGTTCCTACACCCAGATCAGCTGTTGGAGCCTGGGAAATTCCTCTGGTCAGTGTTTATCTGGCAAGAGACATAAATCATCTCACATTTATCCTTTTAGGAACTGAAACTTCCTGGTATAAGCAAAAACTAGGATACAGATATTTATGAAACTAAATTAAAAAAGAAAGGGAAAAAAATAAAAAAAGAAAGAAAACCTGCTAAATGAAAATGTTGAGGTCTGATTCATTCCAATGGAAACAAGTTGTATAGTTTCAGGTTTTCAGATAGCTGAAGCCCTTGGGGTTTTTTTTGGTTTTTTTTTACTGTGCAGAATGTAAAATCTTGTTGTCATGTTTTGGGATAGGAAAAACATGATATTATTGTTATGAGATTGAAAAAAATAATACTCTTTCTGCCTTTCACTATTAATGAGGCACAAAAGATAACAAAAAGATAACATCGTGCAAAACCCTCTGCTGTTCTGTACTCGGGGGTTTTCCCCCATCTCCTCCCTTCCCCCCCATCACTAACAGCCCTGTAAAAGTGCAAAGCACAAAGGGGAAGAGGAGATAACACAAGGCATTTGCAACTTGGGGCAAAGAGGAATTGTCGGCTCCCAAACTCCGTTAATGAGAGCAACCTTGTGCTTAGCGGGAATGATAATCAATTAGACACACAGAGTATTAATGATGTTCTTTTGCCTAATTAGATTAGCAAAAGCGGAGTACAGCCACTTGGGTTTTTCCCCTCCAGCCCGCAGGGAGCATCACCCACCTGGCTGATGCGGGATGCTCGGGAGGGAGGCTGTGCCCACCCTGGGGACAGGCAGAGCAGCCCAGTGGGAAGGTTTGAGGTTGTCCCCACAGTTTTTAAATGCCTGAGGCTGAAGGCAGAGGTTCAGCAGCTCTCGGTGTGCTCCGGGCAGCTCCCAGATGTTCTCCAGCCTCCACGGGATTCTGCAGGAATCTAAAACCCAACTGGGCGCTCCCAGGAGCCAGTCCAGGTGGAGCTGCTGGGATCCCCAGGAGAGCAAAATAACAGAGCTGTGGGAAAATGAGAGGAGCCTTATCTCCAAGAGAAAAGCATTGTAAGATGTAGAGCAAGACAAGAAGCAGATAAGGTGCCAGGAACGCTCACAAATCCACTGACCTACGAAGTGTGAGATCTCTGAAAAACACTGATAAATTGGGCCTTCATCAGTTTTCCTGCCAGTTATCTGATTTATGCAGGTAACACACTGCTGAGGGCCCAGCTCCCAGCACAGAGGAAATGAAAGACACTGCAGTGCCTTAATGAGGAAATATTCTTAGAGCAGATCCAACTGAAGTGTTAAAAGGATTGTACAAATGATCTTCCCAGATTGCTGGTGGGGAATTGGGAATTATCACATTTAAAAAGAGAAAATTGAAAAAAAAGAGCTGAAAATAAGGTTTTAAGATATTGTTAAAGAAAGATGAACCACACCTCAGAAGGTCCCTGACTGGGTTTCTTTAGCAGCTTGGGCTGTCCCTCAGGAGAAGCACAGGGGGCAGCAATTTTTTTGGAGAAGTTAGATGGACAACCCTTGATGTTTAAAAATCAAAAATCCATCTTTTTTTGGTGCATCAAGCTCAACCCTCCTGATTTTTTTTTTCCTTACAGAGTAAAACAAAAGGAAGTGTCTACACTCCCAAGACAAATCCTTTGCCAATCCTTCCTTAGGAATGAAGGCATGCAGAGACAACAAGCAATTCACTTTTTCTATTAAAAATACTTTCATTGCTACTCTTTATGTGTTAAGTGTACAGTTGACATAGGGTGCCCAGAGAAGCTGTGGCTGTCCCATCCCTGGCAGCGCCCAAGGCCAGGTTTGATGGGGCTTGGAGCAACCTGGCATAGTGGAAGGTGTCCCTGCCCATGGTAGAGAAGTGAAATTGGTGATCTTTGAGATCCCTTCCAACCCAAACCATTCCGTGGTTCCATGATTCCATGATTCTGTGAACTACAGGGCAGATTTTATCTGCAGTGCCACAGAGGCTCGGGAAGCTCAGGATTTTCTGTTCCTCCCCTTGATGAGGTTCAAGGCTTCATCTGTGACTTCATCAACTTTCAGAGCATTGCTCCACTTGGAACAGGTTTTGTATTTTTAAGCCAGAAAGCCAGGATAGTAAGAGATCACATTTTCCACATGAGTTTGAAGCAGGGCCCAGTAGTATGTTGAACACTCATGTCTGGAGCTACAGTTTCTATAGTTACTCGTGCATCAGTGTTTCACTGAACTACTGCAATATTCATTCTACAGCAGCTCTGCTTCCTCCTCACTAGAAGGAGAGGCTTGTAAGAGAATTTGTGGTGGGTTCCTCCCTTTGTGTGCACTTTTAGGTTTCTCAGGACTCTGTTAACTGACAGAGTGTTACTTGATAATGAAGCAGGCGAGATGTAGCACCTCGGAAAATTCGAATTTAATGTGAGATTCTCTCTTCTGTGTATCTCTAGGAAATTGGTTCCTGGCTGGAGAAGACATGCAGCACCTCATTAGAAGGAGCAGAATGTCTCATTTTCCTCTTCTAAAATTGCTGTTTGCAGGTCAATATGAAAACTTGAGGGAAGACAAGAAAATTCTGGTGTTTATTCTGTTCCAGAGAAAATTACTTAGCAAGAGAAAATGCCAGCCCATTCTGCTTCCTCAAATTCCCTGGAACTGTGTGATGGAAAGACAGCTCTGCTCCCTTGGCAGAGCCACAGCCACCCCTCACACCTCCTGGCCACCCTCACATTTGCTGGGATGAGGTTGCCCTGGCTGGTAAAACACACACATTTCCCTTAACCTAGCACTCTTCTTTTTTTCTGTTTGATTTCAAAGCAAGTTAGTTAATTATTACTGATGAGCCTAACCCAGAGACCACTGGGCTCAGTATAAGGTTTACCATGGAGTTCCATCTGGGTCAGAGCACCTGGGGTTATTGCTGCTCTCCAAACCAAACATCCTTTTAACTTCAGCAGAACCCAGTCAGGCTTTTCTCAGAGTGAGGTGAAAGGATCAGGCTGATAGCAACCCCAGTTATAACATCTGAAGAAAGAAAATCAAAATATAAAAACTTCCCTTTGAATGATAGCTCAGAGCCCTCCATCCCTGCTTGGGAAGGGAACACTTCAAATAAGAATTCACCAGCTTTTGTAGAAATAATACAGCTGCTCTGTTTGAACCCTCACCTGTTGCGTGGCCTTCTGCTTACAAATTGTACATTTTCCCTGGAATGATGTATCGCTAGATACCACAATTTTAATTTTGGACCTTATTTGGATCTCATAAAGTTTATTTGTGGTTTTGCTGTTGCAAAGCTGGATTCCAGTGCAGGGATTGGATTTTTCTGCCCTCTCCATCCAGCAGCAGGAACCTGCCAGCAGCACGGGGAGCTGCTGGCCATGGCACCGAGCTCCATTGCCATCTAGTGGCCCTTCCCCAGTGCCACCTGGCCCTGCACAAAGCCCTGACCCCTGGAGAAAGAGAGGTGCTCTTCCTTTTGCTGAACTCACATCACGCCAGTCACGTTCTGTTTGGTTGGCTGGTGATTCTTTTTCCTTCCTGCGTTGTATGAAGCCAAGCATGGACAGTGAATTGCCGGGGTTTGCTCCCATTCTCTGGCTGCAGGGCAGGAGAGCTGCAGGGATGGGGCAGGGGAAGCTGAAGGATGCAGCTGCTGGGACAGGGAGGAACTGAGGCTCTCCTGCAGCAGCAGCAGAAGGCTTGGAGGCTCTGCAGAACCATCCGTGTGTCACTCAAAGCTTTTATTTACTGGCATTTTAAAACCTCCAGGAAGCTTCCAAACAATCTCCTCAGCAGAGAGGAACGGCTCATTGACTGCCTGGGATGTTGCTCACAGTAAATAACATCCGCTCCTGCTGCCTGCCCTGCTCCGGGCGCTCATTTGTGTCACTTCCCGCAGCTCCACTCGGCACCAAGCATGGTCTGTTTGCATTCCCAACCACAGGTGACACCAACTTCTGACCCTCACTCACCCACAGCAGGGCTGGCACACCACAGGTGACACCAACTTCTGACCCTCACTCACCCACAGCCCGGCTGGCACACACTCCGTGGCTTCAACAGGGTCGGTCTGTGGATGAAGAAGGGAAACGATCCTTCCTCCCCAGCAACCACAAACTTCTTTTTGCCTTCAAAAGCGACAATCCTCGGTCTCAGGAGGAGAGGGTAAGCCAGCAGGAGACACCAGCTCACAGGGCCTCGATGTCACCTGATGCCTGGACCTCCTGTAGCCATGAGGGGTTTTATTAATGCTACAAATGAAGCACAAACCTGAGTTCTAACCTTCCTCCTCGGAGATGCCACGATGGTCTTGCAGCAAATGGCACCATGGATACACCCCTGCCAAGAGCTGCAGCTGGGAAAGGGTGACAAGTGATGAAAAACACACACACAAGCACCTGTGAAAGAGTGGTTATATTTCTATGCTTTTATGGCAATATAATACTTCATATCAGACTGGGAAACATACTTCCAAATATTTTAAATGACCTGTACACCTAAACAGCCTGGTTATGGACCAGGAATGCCATGCTGCTGCTTACTAAAATCCTTGAATTACCAGTCCCACAGTAACATAATAAATGCCCAGAATCCCAGGAGCTTTTGTTTAGCTCTGGAAACAACACACTCAGGTAAAGCTCATTTTATAAACACTTAAATTGCATTGCAATATCCATATATATATATATATATATGGATATATATATATATACACACACATATATATATATATATACCCATACATACATACATACATATATATATATATATATATATATATATATATATATAAAGAAAAACTTAAAACTTTCATAAATACATCATAGATAAAATAAGCTCCCAAAATACATTCATGCATTCCCCCATCTAAGATCCCTGCTTGTACCCCAAGTGTCTAAGCTGGGAAGGCCAAGGCCTGGAGACAGGCTCATGTTTGCAGGTGGCTCCAAACCCAGGTGAAGGTGTTGGGGCAGTGTTGGGGTTAAATCCTGCATCAGTGGGTCTAATCCTGCCAACCTAGAAAAACAGGGCTCTCCTGCACACTCCTGTGCCACATCAAAGCTGCACCAGCTGTCCTTCTACAACAGCCAAAAGCCACCATCCACCTTGCCCTGATCACTTTCAGTTTTTCCAGCAGTTACTAGAGATAAAAACAAAATCATAGAATGGTTTGGGTTAAAGATCATTTTGTTTCAATCCCCTGCTGTGGACAGAGACATCTTCAGCTAGACAGGTTTGCTCAAAACCCCACCCAAGCTGGCACTGAGCATTTCCAGGGATGGGGCAGGGGGTGCAGAGTCTGTCCCAGCACTCGAGAGGGGCTGGGAAAAAAGGGCTTTGGGAGCAGGGAGGTCACCCTCAGGCTTTGGTGGAAGGGGATCTGTGAATGGAAGAAGCTGCTTTCCTCCACTGACCTGAATATCAACTACACTCCCAGCAGCACCATCCCTGTGGGCAACAGGAACACTCCGAGAGTCAGTCCTTTGCTAATGAAGGAAGCAAATGCCCATCCTGCATCCATTTGTGAAAGCATAAATACACAGAATATACAAAAACACCTACAAAGAAATTGTGAGTTGGAGCTGGCACGAAGGAAGTGCCAGTGGTGCAGGTCCTGTCCTGTGAACATGGAACACCAGGCAGGGTCCAGGGGCTCGCTCTGCCTCCCCTGGGCACGCACCTGGACCACGAGGCTGTGCAAACACTGGCACACCAAGCACTAGCCTAGCCTCATCTGCACTGAGAGGGAAATCAAACCCACACAGGCCCCAATTCCACTTCTGCCCCTCAGAAAGGGTCTGATCAATATTGCAAGAGCACATTCAAAGGTCGTTTTGGGAACGCTGCCCTCTCTCCTTGCAAGCAGCTACAAGCCAGCATCCCCCTCCCACAAGGCAGACCCATCCCTCAGGATACTGGTCTAGAGACAAACTAAATTCACTCCAACCTTTCTGTTCACCCAAACCCACTGTCTTTACAGAACAACCCAAGGTAAACATTGCATAGATCTGTATCTCCCATCTTCCCACGCCCAGCAAACAGCAAGAAGTTCAAGTTTTGCTCAGTACATTACAAAAGGCGTCGCTTTTAAACAACACAAATAAAAAACCAGAAGTGTCACCACGGTGTAAACCCTGCAATGAGTGAGGCAGTGAGTGTACAGTGCTTGGCAGCTCTGGGAATGGCTGCCTGTAGTGTACTGATGGATTTGCTAATCCGATCTCCTCTCCCAGTAATAGGAACTTGCATAATGAGAGAAGCTGCTCCTGAACAGAGTGATTCTGTGTGCCATGGGAAGGAGGAGGACATTGCCAGGTCTGTCTGCTTTGCATTCAGCAGTTCAAGGGCCAGCTGACCCCTTTGCAGTGCAGACTACAGAACAGCAGTGCTCCTCCCCAGCTTGGAAATCCAACAGGAGTTTTGCTACAGTTGGCTTTACAATTCAGATATTCAATAGAGTCAGCCCAGATCCTCTGGTGGTTTAAACCCCACATGCTCCATTGGAGTTACCAGTGATTACTTCCACGAGTGGAGAACGTGGTCCTGGCTTGTCACAGACACAGAATAAAGCTACAGTAGCCCTTTCTTTAAATAAAATTAAATAACTGCACGTGGCACCAGCACACAATTTTAAATGTGCTTCTGCTGTTAAGAAAATAGCAAAGCACACCAGTGGTTACTTAAATTATTTATCTTCAACTAAAAAAAGAATAAAAATTTAAAATATTACTGTTGATTTAAAAACCCCTTGGGATACTGCATAACATCTCCTCATGGTATTTCTGAGGCTGAAAAAGTCACTTGCTTGTGGACAGCACTATATATCCTCTTCAGCTGGCAGTGAAGGCTTGTGCTCCTGGAGGTCACTGGTGCCATTTTCGGATGCATCCAAGCTGCCTGGAGCTGACTCTGCAGGTGGGGGTTTGTAGAGTAAACAGGCCACTATAAAGAAGGTTGTCCCGAGGACCTGCAGCCATGGAGACACCCTGTTACTGTCTGCTCTCCCCCAAAACCACGAGCCCACCCCACATCTGCCATGAGCTTTGCTGACCAAGCTTTGGGGAGGAGGAGGAGATGTTGGCCAGCCTGGGAAGCAGAGCAGCACACAGAACTAGAGGGGGTAAAAATCTGAATTTAGCCAGCCCCATAGCAATGGGAATTTGGAAAGGTTCAGCCCCACACAGACACCTGGAGCACAGTGCTGCATGAGCCAACATTGCCTCAGCCTTTTGCTGGAAAGCTTCTGAAAACCTCTTTACCACAGCAGCTGCTAAACACTGCTGTCTAGGGCAAGTGCTTGTTTGGAAGCAGTTAAAATGATGGTTTTCTGCTAATAAATAAGGCCCACAGCTCTAAGCTCTCTTATTTTCTAGCAGTGACTGGGGAATGGTTATTTACAGCCTGCCCACAATGCCATCCCTCACTCTCACTAATACACTGCACTTGGATATTTTACTCCATTTCTAGCAAAAATCACTTTGGTTGCTGTTGGAAGGAGGTATTTCATATTGTGCAATAGAAGCTGTAATCCTAGAAAATAATGGGAATTTAACAGAATGATGGTGTCTGGAGCACCATTACCTGACAAGAAGCAAACTATGCTTTTGCCTTCCCTGATAAATTTCTTGTGTGAAAATGTAATTTGGTCTGGGGGTGGGCCAGATCACGGCAACCTAATTTTGTAAAATTCTTTTCCAGAGCAAAACGTTACATCCTAAAAACCTGGCTGCTTTACCAGGGAGTGGAGTTAAGCAGCAGCATCACCTTGTAGGCCAGTCCAGCGACGAGGGTGTATCGGCTCATGGCCGAGTTCTGGTAAACGTAGCAGGAGCCCTGCTCGCCACACTGGTCCTGCCAGAGCAGGCAGGATTTATCAACCATGGAGCCAAAGGCAATGGGGCCAGGGATGCCTCCTGTGGGCACAGAGAAGGCACCTTCAGTTTGGGCAGCACCTTGCAGAAAAGCACAAAGTTCTGCTGATATCATGATTAAAAGAACTCATCCTGCAGCATCCAGAGCCACCAGGTATCCAAAATATGCTGGATTTCAAGAACTGGGAGTCCAGCAGGTCTTTTGGGCATCCTGAGCCAAAAGACACCCACAGGAGCTTCAACACCTCTGCTCTTTCTCCTTAAAATTAGGGCACATTGGCAGGACATCTGTCAGCAGTGACATGTTACAGAACCCTGCATCAAGTTTGCAAATCACATGCAAAGGAACTGCTGGATGACAGCAAAAGAAAGCAAGCATCCTCCTTTTCAGCAGTGTGTGTCCTACTCCCTCCTTCTCCAACCAGAGTGTGTTTTACTCTTGGTGACAGCTTGGCACCTCCCAGAACCACCAGACCATTGTGGTGTGCAAATTCCCTCTGCTCCATACCTAAGGTTCGTACCACAATCCACTGGATCCCGAGTGCAAAGGACCTTTGCCTGTCAGAGACACACCTGGGGAAGAAAAGGGTTTGTTTAAAAATGCTGCCAGGCTGCACCTCCTCCCTGCTTCCCAACTCCAGGTCCTCAAGCCCAGCACACCTGGGACCTCCATCCCTCTGCAGATTTAGGATCACCCCAGTGCAATGTCCCTCCACCCTGATGTAAATGTGTGTATCCCACATCAGAGGACAAAGCTCCCAATGCTGAAATTTCCTTTCCCAGCTAGACTGGGACAGGAACAGCCTGATGTCTCCAGGCTGCCACTAACTCAGTGGTTCCCATCACACCTTCCCATGCTTGATCCAGCAGGATAAAGCAGGCAGGATGATGTTGAGGCTCCTTGCAGTGCTGGCAGAGGAGGAGGCCATCCTGTGCTTACCTGAGAGTGGCAGTCAGGGCAGGAATGCTGCTCAGGAAGGTGAAGAGGATGACCACGAACATGAAGCACAGGAGCAAAGGCTTTTTGGCACAGGAGGAGGTGCATTTCCCTGCCTCTGCTTTGCCAGAGCCAGGCAGGAGGGCTTTGTCAACACAGCTACACTCTTGGTAGACCTGGGAAAGAAAGGCTGGTGGGGGCTCTGCCGAGGAGAGCGTGGTGACAGTCAAAGCTTTAAAAATAAGAAATTCAGGCAGGGCAGAAAGCAGCAGGTTAGACTCCCAGAATGAAGTAGAAATCAAGCTGCATTTTTGACACATCTCAGTTTCCAAACAGGTCAATCAAGCAAGGGAAATTAACTGTGCCAGGCAGCTGAGTATCACCTGTGCCCTCCCTAAGCCTTTGCCTGACTCCATGAGCAACATGCTGGAAGGATGAGGAAATGCACCATGCTCATTCAAGAACCAAAATAAGCACTAGGAGAGAAATCAGGGGCTTACCAAGCTCCCTGCCTGCCTGGGTGATTTTCCATGGATTTCAGCACAGTTTGACCCAGAATGAGGCAAAGACAATTGGACATAACAAGAGAAGCAAAGCAGGGTGACCTCAGAGTACCTTCTGCCTTCATCTCACGTGGTACCTGAGAGCATCCACCCTGCCCTGGCTGGTTTTACATGATTTATAGCAAACCTCAAACCTTTTGCAGAGCCAGCCAAATCACTCCAGAGATGTGCCACCACCCTGATCGTGCACATTCATGCCTTCAGACCTACCTTCTTGCCATTCCTGAGGTTTACAGACACACTTCTGCAGCCAGCATGGCAGGGGGAGTAGTACATGATGCCATCAGTGCCACAGACAGGGCTGTAGGTGTCCTGCAAACAGCCACACTGGGCATTGCAGGCTGCTGTCAGGTTGAGGTGCCCACCTGGCAAAGCACTGAGGGAAACACAGGAGCAGTCAGTGAGCAGCACTTTACAGGAGGAAATGGGGAGAGGAAGGGACAGTGGCAGTTGTGACAGACCACCAAGGAGCATAAAGGCAGGTTTGGGAAGGCTTTGATCCCACCAAATTTTAAACATGTCCTGGAGCTGTCTCTCCCACAGCCACCAAGGGAGTTTAAGTGCCCAGCTCTTAGGGTGCCACTTCCATTCAGAGAGGAGATTCCCACTTTTGGTCCAGTTTATCCCACTGGATAGAGAAGGGGGCTGCTGCACAGGCAGCTGAAGAGAGGAGTATTTCTCACTCTGGTGCTGCTGATCTTCCCTCCCTTACTAACTAGGGAGCCTCTTCCATAAACTTCATCTCACTGCAAAACTTAGGACATCTATTTTCTGTGTCTCACCCTCTGCCTGTAGGACTGACCAGACACCAACTTTCACCCCCAAAACATGCACACATGACTGCCACCAGCACTGTGTGTTTGAGCTATCCTGCTCTGCCCAGAGCCCCTCAGGACAGACAGGCACACAGGGTGGCTGTTGTTACCTTCCATCGTACATCTGGGTTACTCCTGCCATGGGCATGTTAGGGCAGTGGATAAAAAAAATGAATATGGCCAGCAGACTTGACACTGTGCAAAACAAACACAACTTGATGATTCCTGAGCAGCGCAGTTTAAATTTATTCACGAGGAATCCTCCCAGGAATGTGCCTCCCCCTCCAGCTGGCACGACCAGATAACCTGAAAAAGAAGAGGGAAAAACTCACAAGTGAGTTTAGAAATGTCGGCAGGGAGTTTTCAGGTTTAAATACAATAATTGCAGTGTGTTTTGCATATAAATGACTCCTTGCTTTCTGTGTGGCTTCTTGGGGGGAGCTTAGTGGATGTTGCTGTAGTGGGTAGTCCTCTGTAACAGCTCAGGTAATGTGGCATGAGCCAGTAAAGGCAGCTTTTCCTACACAGAGATCTTAAAACTGACTCTTTGAGGAGCACATCATGAGTGCTGATGCTTGTTGGACACCATCCCTTGGTCTGTGTTGCAGCACCTAGGTGAGGATCCTCCCAGTTTCTGGATGCTGACAAAATATCCCCTCCAGATCTGACATCCCTCCTAGAGGAAACCTTTAGCCAGTGTTTCCTGGTGATGCACTAGGAGGAGTTACAATTATTTTGCCTTCCTCTAGAGAGTAACAGATGGCTGCAGAAGTGACACATTTCCTCCTGATGTCAGTAGATGCAGCTCTGGAAATGCACAGGGTGTAGGTGTGCTGATAGGAAATGATCCCATCTAACAGCTGAAGGGGATAACCAGTCCATAATTAAACTGCAAAGCATCTGTCTCCATTCTAAACAAGATAACAGTGCTCTTCTATTTGTTGGCAAAATAGGAAAACATTGCAAAAACATGCTTTCCTTACCAAAAAAGGTGGCAGCTTCAGAGGCACTTAAACTAAACTGAGACTCCAGGAATTTGGGTCCAAACGTGGACATCCCTGCAATCAGGGTGGCTTCAGTTGCTCCTGCTAAGCAGAGGAAGATGAAGGTGGGGTTCTTCAGAAGTAGCAGCACTGACCTGGGAAGGACAAATATATTGGAATTGAATTACTGATTTCAGGTCTTCTAAGTCAGAAGGATCACATGTAAGATGAGGCAGCATCCCATCATTCTGCAACTCTTTGAAAGGAAAAACACCAAAAGGAATCTAATTGGGGTTGGAAGGAGCTTTTCCAGTCAGTGACACAGAGTGTATATGTATGATGGAACTCACACTAAGGGCACCCACAACTCTACATGGATGATTTCAGCAGTAATTTTCCAACGTTTAGGGTCAGGCTGAGTACTTTGTCTGTTTAAATGGGGCAATACTGAGAGAACATTACTCCTCACCAAATCTCCATTATTTCAAAGTTTTATTAGTGCCTGTTGGCAGATGTCTTGGGACTCCCCCCTCAACCAAGAGCAAATTTGTGCTACATCCTCACATACACACGTTACTTGTGCACCCACACTCTCAGAACAATAACAACCTCTAATAACCATAGAGGTTTGGAACTCAGGGGAAATACCAAGCAAGCCTTTCTATACGGAGGAAACACCTCCAAGACACCTGAAAAACAGAAAGCAATCTTTCTGCCACAGCCTAAGCCCAGTTTTACTTGAAGCTTAACGTATAAATTGAGTAACTCCATTTAACTTTGACCCACTGGGATTTAGGAAAGAGCTGCAGATATGCCTGAGAAATTGCCATGTGTCATTTATATGCAGATCCAGCAACAATTCCATCCCTGAGATGCAGAAAAGGCCTTCAGGCACAAGGAATGGTCTCAATTATCTCTCACTATCTCGGATATTGGACTGAGAGGACTGACATTGCTTTGCAGGGGATGTTTTGTAACCAGCCTCAAATTCTGCCCCATGACGTCCCCCCAGCCAAGCCCAGGCCAGTGCCTTGGGTTATCCCGTTTCTGGGATGGGCACAAATCCTGCAAGAGCGATGCCATGGGATGCTCACTGAGCAGAAAGGCACAGTCACCACCTCCTGCTCTGGTGGAAATGTGAGATCACAGAAAAGCTGCCTTGGTACAAGCAAGGGAGAGACGTGCTGAGGCTCAGAGTCAGATTTATGCAACTTTACTCACATGAACTAGAGAATTTCATTATACCAAAAGAACAAAGAAGCTGAAAGACAGAAATACCACACATTCCTACACTTTGATTACAGGGGGCTTTACACTGCCTAGCTCTTGGGATTAGTTTAATGTACTGTTTTATTTTCCAGATCTTTTTGACTGTGCTTAATTTTGAAGCATAAAGCCTAGTATTTTAGTGAGAAAATGCTTGTAGATCTGGTGGCTGAGGGAGAAAATGGACAGTGCCTTCACCTTTGTACAGAGAAGAGTTACTCCCTGGCACTCCCTCTGCCCAAAAGTTACAGGCTGCACTTACAAGTAGGAATAGGCAAATGAACTCCTTTCAACACTAAGAATAAGGATTTACTTACTTAATTTAATCTGTCTGAAGACAGAAGATGTAGTTGTGAGAAGCTATGGCACATAAAACCTTACCAAAGACAGCACAAATGGTTTTATTCCATCAGTAGGACTTTGAACATACCCAGAAATCACCTAACTTCTGAATAGCCTTGGCACTGCTCAGTTCTTGCAGCCAAAGGGATTTCAGGAGCCCCAGCACTGCAGAGAAGAATCCCATCACCTAAAAAAGCTGACCCTCCAGGGTTTACTGATATGGGCACACACAGGAACTCTTTCTCACATAATGGATCTCTGAGTAGGTTGGTGCCACCTGCATGATCAGAGCCTGCTCCTGTGAGCACAGTGTGCCCAGAACACCCAGATAAATGGATATTTCTGCAATATCACAGCATGGGAATGGGGGCTTTTCCAGCACAAAATGACACCCACTGCCACCAGCACCCACATAACAGAGGGCAGCATGTGCATCCCACAGGAACATAGACCAACCTCCCTTTGTTTCATTTAATGGCTTTTCTAAGTCCCACCCTGCACCTAATCAGGAGTGATCAGTGAAATACTGATCATAGTTGCTAGGGCTGAAGATCTGGGCTTGCCAGGTCAGGGAGTGATCCTCACAAACTCCACCCTGCAGCTTGCAGGGACAAAGACTCCTCTTGGTACAGCTCTACATGCCCTCCCTTTGAGTCCCTCTGCTCTGACTGAGGGGTTACCCCATGAGAGCAATCATATGGAAGCAGAAAAGGAAAATGCTGTTTTATCAGGCCTTTTCAACCCAAGAGTTAATACAGAAGTGTCTCCAGGGCAGAGGATTAGGCTGTATGGGCTGCATTCCTGTAAGCTCCTGCTCTCGGTCAGCACTGTGCACACAGCAACTCATGAACATCACTTACAAAGGGCCTGATGGCATGGAACAGAATTTTATTTATCAGTATTTCTGCTTATCTTTGTGAGACTGTTACTGCCTGTACTGTGAAAAACTGTGTGGCACACAGTCCCTGACCAGCACAAAAGGAACAGGGAGTGTCTTTTGGCCTCATCCTCCAGCCTGGTCCACATGTCCCCAGGAGCTGCCTGCACAGATGGGATCTCCTCTTTAATGCAAGTTTCCAGAGCAGGAAGCTTTGAAGGCACTTCCCTCTCATTAATCAAAACCAGGGACCACAAAAGTCTGTGGGGTTCCTGCTTTCAAACCACATTGAGGTCTGGACTGGTCTGAATTGCTTGATACAAATTCCCTTTGGGTATTTGTGATTCAGGTGTGAAAGATGCTCCTGGAGGAGGATTGTCTCTGTTCCTGCTGTCAGACAGCAGAAACAGTGGGAGCTTTGTTCCAGACAAGCAAGAAAAGCATCAACCACTGAGATTCATTCCTCTCTGCTGCCCTGTTTGTGTTGGTTTTAGTCACAGACTTATCGTTATTTAAATGCAGGTTTTGAATTCAATTTCCGTGAGGAGAACGAGCCATGACCTTGGAAAATGGCACCCAGTCAAGAATGCCACTTAATAACAGCATTGAAATCTGTTCAATGTAATATTCCCCATAAAACTGCCTTAACCCCTGGTAAACTTCCTAGGAAGTCTCCAAGAATTTCAGATGGGTGTGAGCTGACACAATTCACTTGACTGGCTCTGGAAATTCCTGTTCTGAGCACCTGCTTCCATCCTCCTCTGCCAGCACAACAAAGACCACAGCTAATGCTCAGGAGTGATTGCTGGCAGCAGCCTGGGGTTTAGCAACATCTTTGCAGGGAGCAGCCATCACACATGGATAAAATCTCCTCCCTAAAAACGGTCCTGGGAGAAATAATTAAAAATAAATAAATAAATAAAAGGAGGATCTCCTTACTGACTGCAAGCTCCAAAAGGAATCAATATCCATGTATCCCTGCAACATCCAGAGTCTCCATGCCAGCTAACTCCAAGCAAGAAATAAAGCAGCACCTCTCCCCCTGCCCTCCATTTCAATACAACTCAACACATTAAAAAAAAAACCAAAAAAACCACCATAAAATATTTCAAAATCCGTAACAAAAATATGTGGTTTAAAGATCACATTTTATTTTGGCTCCTGCTTTGTTTCCTTCACAGATCCGAGCAGGAGCTCAAGATTAAGCAAGTTGCTGTGTCACTGCCTTGCTGGAGAGATAAGAAGTAGTAATAGATAAAAGGTGGCTGGAAGATGTGAAGGCAAAAGAAAAAGAAAAAAAAAGGAAACCAAGAATAAAAGAGAAAAGGAACTGAAAGTTACAGTGTGGTATATTTTGTTCCCTGGGCTTAGAATGGAACTGTGAGGATCACAGGGCCTGTTTCATCTCGTTTCTCATTAAAAATGACAAAACAGGGATCTAACCCAAGTAAAAATAGAGGAAAGGAATAAAGCCCTAAGGGGCTGGGGAGGAGGAGCTGTTGGAAACATGCAACTGGGCCAGGTGAGGCCATGCAGAAGCAGACAGGCAGAAATAATGCTGCTGGGGAGAGGGAGGGAGCTGGAATGCCTGGGCATCTCCCATCACCTAAAGCTTGGCATCAAGCCACTCTCAGCAAAACTCAGTGTGTGGCACAGGACTGCAGGTGGACACGAGCTTCTGAAAACCCAGATGGGACCAGCCACTTGTGCCCTGCTCCCCTCTGTGATCCTCAGCACCAGCTCGAGCTCAGTCTCCCTGCCAAGAGCTCCCAGAGCTTGACAGGATCAGGCACCTCCTCTGCAAGGAAGTGTCACTGCCTGAAGAACTGCACCTTTGAGCTGGCAGGGCTGGAGGAAGCTCAGCTTGGGCTCATTGCTCTCTCTGCCCTCTGCACAGGGCTCCCTAATCTCTGTGTGGGGTGGTTTTCTCACCGAGGCAGATCTTTCACCGTTTTCCCAAAGTCCGGATCTGAGGCTTTCTTGTGGCTCCCATCCTTTAGCTGATGAGCCTCTGACACCCTCATGACGATGTAGCGCTGGGATCCTGCAAAGGAGAGGCAAAGGGAATGAGGAGTGTGTCAGACACAGGGCGTGGATGTTTCTGCAGTGTGGGTTTGTGGGGGAAAACGCAACGTGACATCCTCCCTCCACCAACAGCTGCAAGGGAGAAGCACTAACTGGGCAGATGGAAAGCCCAAGGGGTGAAATCCATTTAGGAATTACAACCTAAGCACAGGAAGCTGTTCCTTTGCTCCCACATCCCCAGCTACACACGTGCAGGAGGATGGAAGCCCAAGTGTGGGAATCCAGGGCTTCCCTCTGGCTGCCCTGGCAGGTCTGGGACCCTGGCAGGGGTCAGGAACCCCCTGGACAGAGCCCCGAGAGACACTGTCTGTGATCTCTGTCCATGGAAAAGAGTTTTCAATCTTACAGCATGAATTACAAGCTCTGAGTGTTTGATATAAGTGATAATTAATTGTGGCACGGGTGCAAAAGTAAAATTTTAGGATTCTAGATTAGGGGTCCAAAGGGGACAAGATGGAGGAAATTGGGTGTGCCTTGTCCTTTTTCTCCTTCTTCATGCCCTCCATGTTTCACTGTGGTGTTGGCATTTTTCTGTTGGTTCAGGCTGGGGACACACTGTCCAACGTAGGTGACAGATATTGGCACGTTATTGTAAATCCAGCACAGGTAGTTTCTGGTATTTAATGTTTGTACCATCCCACTGAGGGCAGAGCCCCACACGCTGCCCTGCAGGACAGAGCTGCGGCAGGGCAGCAGAACATGTTAGAGATAAACAGAATAAACAACCTTGAAACCAGCACAGACGAATTATGGCTTCTTTGGCAGCGGGGCTGACAGAGACTTTTACAATCTCGGGATCATCAATACCATGGATTCCAACACCCAAGGCCACGCGGGATCACCGGCAGTCCCACCCCAAATCCCGAGCCCACGAGCAGCCCCGTACCTGGAAGGCGCTGGGGGTAGCCCAGGATGGGGATGGAGATGAGGAGGGAGGCGGCCCCGGCCCCCAGGAAGCCGATCCACCAGGCCCCCACCCACAGGGTGTTCTCGGGGGCCATGTCCGTCCTGCAGGGAGAGAAGCCAAAGGGACACAAGGGAGAGAGGAGATGGTTGGAGACGGAGCAGGGCAGCTCTGTGGGCCTCTCCCTGAGGCTGGCAGGGCTGGGGGGTCACAGGGTGACAGCAAAGGACACTGAGTGATCTGGTGTCATGATGCCATGCCCACCATCCCTCCTGCCTCAGCACAGCCCTGCCTCACCAGAGCACAGCACGAGCCCAGGAAACCACACCATTTCAGTCTCATTTAATCTCAGCTTTGCACATTCACCCCACTGCTGCTTTTCAGCTGTGCTTTGAGGGTTGCCAAAGAGGTCGCTCCACCCCAAAAAACACCCTTTGCAAGAAAACCGGTGGAAATAACTCATTTCTTCCCCTGCAAACCCATTCCTCCTTTTTAATGCATTTATCTGGTCTAGTAAATGGTGTCCCTGCCTAAGGCAGAGGGGTTGGAACCAGATGATCATTAAAGTCCCTTCCAACCCAAAGCATTCTGTGATTCTGTGATCTACCAAAGAGCCTGTAAGGAAAGAATAAATCACAAATATTACAAAGCAAGGAGGGACTGAGCATCCTGGTGGGATGACTGGGAGGGCAAGCAGCACTTCTGGGAGCACTGCCTCATCAGGGAACTCATTCAAAAAATTCACCTGCAGCTCGCAGCCTCATTAGCACAGGCAGTGCAGCGTGAGGAAGGATTTAAGCTGACAGGTTTGTCAGCAATTTCCCTTCAGCAGCAGCACTAATCCAAACCACCCTTCCAGCCTCCCTGCCTGCAGACACACCACCCAACACCCCAGGCACACTTCCACCCAGCCACCAGCTCATTGCTCCAGATCATTGGCATTATTTTTTTTCTACCCCAAAGGAAACACAGAGCAGAAAGGGAAAGGAACAAGATTTTTTTTTTTTTTGACGACTTACTCTCTGCCAATTTCAGTATAAATATTTAGAAACATTCCTCCTACCAGATAACCCGCTGCAGGCCCAAGGATTGCAGCAGTGTAGAAAACAGCTGAAAGGGAAAACAAGTCATGTTAGACAATGTCAGCCAGGGATCCCCAGCCCAATTCCCTCCTGGATGCAGGATGCTCAGCCTCTGGCTGCCTCATACCCTTCCCCCTAAACCACTGAGACACAAACCCAGATCATTCCAACAAGTTTTCCTCTCATGCTTCTGTTCCAGGGAAGTTTTTGCATCCAACCTGGGAAGTTCTATAGTATGGGGCAGGCAAAGTTGGTTCAGAACTAAACCATATTTAGCAGGGACGCAGCTGATCCCACTGCCACATTATTGCCACAGCAATGAGCAGCAGGATTCTCTCCCCACTGACAACATGAAATGTCTACACTAAATGCAGCACCAGTGGCACTTATTTCAGTTTGCTGTTTAAACCATGGAACATGGAAGGATGAACTTGCTGATGATCTCCTTGTGATCTCCTTCCCACACTACACAGCCTTCTGCTAAGTGTGGGCAGACTGACACATTTTGAAATTGCTAAAGGATCACCCTTCCGGCACTTTCAGCAACAGGACTGTGAGTGTTTGGCAGCTGCTGAGTGACCAGTGATACAGAGGAGTGAGCTGAGCCTGTTCTTTTGGCTGTGCTTTGCACCAGCAGTAGCTGAGCAGCCCAGTGACCATCCCTGCTGTGCTGAGGCCTGAAGGGATGATGATCTAAAGATTTAGATTAGATGTAAATGATGGTGATAAAACACTGGCCCAGGCTGCCCAAACAGGTGGTGGATATTCCATCCCTTGGCACATTCAAGGTCAGCCTGGATGTGTCTCTGAGCTCCCTGATCGAGTTGAAGGTGTCCCTTCTCATTGGACTAGGTGACCTTTAAAGGTCCTTTTGCCCAAATCATGGTGTGATTCCATGCCCCCTTGCACAGATGGGGCTATGGCCTCATGGCTGTCTGCCAGTGATGCTAATGCCACATGGGCTGGCCCCACGCCAGGAGCAGGAGGCACTCCCCACCTACATGGCACGAGCTGCGGGAGGAAAAACACCAGCCGAGCTCACACTTTTCCTCCTGGTACGTAATCAAAACCTCCCCAACAGCTGCCACATCCCTCTCAGTTCCACCTCGCCCCTCAACAGGAACAAAAGACTGAGCAGTGTCGAGCGAGGTGCTCCCAGTGTGGGCTGGGGACCAGGATCTCTCCCTGCCACCACCCTGCTGTTAAGGGCTGGAGCTGCCCGCAGCCCCACTCACCAATGTACACGGGCGAGTAGTTGGTCTTGACGTTTTCATCTAAGTAGGTGACGCCGAGCGTGTAGAGCGGCGTGGCTCCCATGCCGTGCAGGAACTGCCCCAGCATGAAGACAAACCTGTAGCCAGAGAGGCTGGAGGCAGCCTGGGAGCAGGGCAGGCTCTGGTTCCCCCCGCAGACGCCCAGCTGGGCTGCCGAGCGCGCCTCGTAGCGCCCCGTGGTGAAGTGGGGCAGGGCGAAGAGCAGGGAGCCCAAGCCCATGACCAGCACGCCCCAGCCCAGCCAGCGGGGCTTGTGGCCGTTCCCCCCGAAGTAGCTGACGAAGGTCAGGCAGACGCAGGCCGCGATGTCGTAGGAGCTGGCGATCAGCCCGCTCTGGTAACTGCGCAGGTCGAAGCGGCGCTCGATGGAGGTGATGACGGTGTTGATGAAGCCGTTGACGGTCATGCCCTGCAGGAAGGAGGCCACGCAGAGGAAGAACAAGACGCCTTTGGATGTGTTGCAGAGCTGCAAGCAGCCAGGGGTGAACCCCCCCCAGCCGCAGGCCAGTTCCTCTCCATCAGCAGACACGTATTTGATCCCTTCCTCGAGTGGTGTCTCCTCCTGGGCCGTGCAGAGGGGCTGGGCGCAGGAGCCCGAGGGGCTGGGAGCCCCCGAGGATGTGATGCCATTGCTCAGGGGGGTGCTGCAGCCATCCCCCCCGCTCGCTGCACCCAGCGCCCGGCCGGCCTCGCCGGGATGGGGGCGCGGGCAGGAGAAGTCGAGGGGCTGAGTGAAACAAAAGCCATTTACTCTGGTGGAGTTCTGGGGCATTGCCATGAACGGGAATGTGGAGTCCAGTGGCGGACTGAGGTGGGCTGGTGGCCAGGGTGGCTTTGTGGGGCAGCGAGGACCAGTCTGTCCACAAGATGCAACTTTCAGCACTTACTTCCGTAGGGAGATGGTGAAAGTCTGAGCCAAGACCATTCTGATCTGTGCAAAGAGAATTTTTATATGCCTTTATATAAAACCATGCACAAACCCCGCAAATATTCTTTTTGTTCCTTTTTTTTTTTTTTTATTTTTTAGTAAGTATAAGCATTTCACTGTGCATTTCACCTGGTCATGTGCCTTCCACCATGGGATGTGTTAGTACCTCAGGTGTTAGGGCATCACCAACATTACAGAAAAGAACAAAACATTCAAGAGCCTTAAAGAAAAGCAACTCTAAGGCAGTGTCTCCATTGATTGAAGCCCCTTATCCCTCCCCTGATAAAGACCTGGTGAGACCCCCACAACCTCCATCCCCCTTCTTCCCCCTGCAGAGAACAGCCCACACAGCTACAAGTTTCCCACTGCTACAAGTCCTTTGGTCTCTCTTTCACACTCTGCCAATAACAGTTTATAATTATCCTGAAAAGTTTCCACAGTCAGATTGATTTTATTCCAAGCCCTCAGATCTGTTTACAACTATTCAGTAAAATCCTTTCTATAACTAATTAGACTACATGCCATTTCAGAGCAGGCTGGAGGGCAGAGGCAGCTGACTCTAACCTGATTACCAATGCAGACTGCCTTCTTTCACCCTGTTCCTGTGCATTGCACCACCTGACCCTGCCAGCAACCAAGAGTATTTCTCCTTAAATTCCTTGGCTCAAGGATAAATGATGAAAATAAGGTTCTCCCTTGAATACTGGTCTTAAATATGCAAAAAACTCTAAGCGAGAACTGTTTAATTAGACAGTATCCTCAAAGCATCCTGTATTTCTCAATAATTTTGCCAATATCTGTTCAAGAGGTTCCCACAAAAATGCTCCCCCTGAGATGACACTCATCAGTACAGAAGAGGGAAAAAGGGCATTTTTTTTTCCCTGATAAAATGAACTCTGTTCAGATGGCTGTAACCTGGGAATATTGCAGCCTTTGGTGAAGACTTTAATACTTACCTGTGTGTTTTTGTAAAAAAATGATTGACATTTGCTAAATAGATATGCTTCTCTGCACCAGCAGGTCTTGCAGGCACTGGGGTAGGAGGATTTGGCAGAAAGTGATGCTCAGAGCACCACCAAGGTGCTGCTCCTACCCGAGAAGGGCAGGGGACAGCCCACATGTGTTACCAAATTTTAACGTTCATCAGGAGTGCTACAACACGTCTGGTCCTTAAAGCAGGTTAAACAAATGAGGTCCAACTTTCACTTGCAAATAGCTTTATCTTAATTGCCCTGTCTGGGGAGTAGTGTTCATGGACTATTTCCTATTTCAAGGTCCAGATTCCAGCAGAGATTTGATGACAGTGCAGGGCAGGTTGAGCTTGGTGGGCAGGAGGGGACTGCTTTGCAGCTCCACACTGGACTCCTCCAGGTAACTCCTACCTTAGCTGGCTGAGTACAGCAGGTAACTTTGATCTGAAAAGTGTAAATGCAAAAACTGACTGCAGGGGTTGAACTTTTGCTGCAGACACAGACTGTTGTAATGTGCTGGCACAAAAAAAAAATGATGCCTTGGTGCAAGGCTCTATTTTTTCCACTTTTTTGCCTCTCCAGTGTTCTTATGACTCTTACAGATCTAAATCTGTTTCTCATCTTTGGATGCAGTATTGGAAGCAATAAATAAGCCTGCTTTAGCACTCTGTTAAAGTCAGGAGTGATTATGAGGCGCTGAATCAGGCTCTAAGGGGCGGAATGGTTCGTACTCATGTAAATCAAACATCTCCTTGCACAGCAGCCAGGGCTGCAGCTGCACCCTCCTCCTATCAGACTTGTATCAGCCTCATGTCTGATGTTACACTTGACTGCACTTGTAAAGAAGGTTTCTTGGCTGGGGATTGATTTTGCTCTCACTGATTTCAGCAGACAGAAAAAGCACATCTCTGTTATTACCTGATATGCAAGCAGGAGCCCTGAGCTCCCCAACTGGCCCAGCTTCACCCTGGAGGAAACACTCCTTTAAACACTGGGATCTCTCCTTTGATACCTCATGAATTTATATCGATATTTTAGTATTTCATGAGTCAGGAAAGAGATTACAGCTCTTCATCACAGGTTTTATTTCCTTGGTGGCAGCAGTCTGGGCCACCAGACCCAGGTGACCACAATCATCCCCTCTTCCACTCCTGCCACTGTTAGCTCGAGTTAACAGCAAACAGGGGGAAACATTTCCAAGAAAGGAACCAACCTTTCCTCCAGGCAGGAGATGTTTCCCCACACCCAGAAGCCTTCTCAGCCCCAACACCTCCCTCCTGTACCTGTCCCAGTGGGCCTGAGCTAATGACTCGTGTGGGCAGGGAGCCCACTCCCGCTCTGTGCTGCCCACTGAGCTGCTTGGCATCTCTTGAAGTATTTATAAACTGGCTGTGACATGTTCACTGTGGGTATCAGCTTTCACAGGAGCCATATGCCACTTTAGAGGACAAAATATAATCATCGGGGGAAAAATCCAAGCAACTTCATGCACTTCCTAATCATTCATATTCTTCCGAGCCATCCATTTACTGCCTCCCATTCATCTCTGTTTTTAATGACTCAGCGGGTGATTTCTTGCTTACACTGAATCAGTCCCAACGCTATTATCTCTCTGCCATAGATTTCCTCATTTTGCTGCAAGATTTCTACTTTTTTTTCCCACTGTACAGCTGGTTCCAAAGTGCCAACATTATCGAGTCAACACAGCAGAAGGAGCAAGGCAATGAAAGCATATGATTTGTATTTCCTGATGAAATCTGTAAAGACTTCCCCCCCACCATAATATTTAGTATTAAATCAACAGTAAAACTTACAAGCTTTTCATCAGGTGATAATTTAAAAAGTCACAGGACCAATTAAAAACATTTTGTATTTCTGCCAAGGACTGCGATGAGATTAATGTTGCAAATTAACTCATATCTGACATGTAAAATAATCCCATTTGCTGAAACATGCCCAATAATAGTTAATCTTCCCTTTCACATTATGCTTTTTTGACTTTTATATGGTATTATTGTGGCAAATAACATCTATACATAACTTCAGCTTTCCACAGCTGAGCACAGTTTATGAGTAGACTTAGCATTTTTTTCAATTCTATTGCATACATGGAGATATTTCCTAATGAACAGGGGTAAGGGATTAAAAATGATCAGGAAGTGTACTACAAACAGGAAAGAAGCAGCCCCAGGCAATGCTTGGTGGCTGTGATGGGTCTCCTTTATTTTCCTCTGGGTCTCCTCAATTTTTATTTTCCTCGATGTGTGAGTGAGCCTGGACTTACTGATCAAGTACTTAGAAGCTGGCAAAGTCCACATCCAAGTGCCAAGCTCATATTACTGCAGCAAGGGATAAATTCATCTGGGTTTGTCCATTCTCTTGGTAACACACACTGAATTTTCCTCAGAGAATTTGGCTTCAGAGGATTAGCAGCACTCCTGTCATGGCTGATAAACACCATATGGATCAAATGCAATTTAGGAGTGGGGAAGCCTCCCAGAAGTGAGATAAATCCAGTCCTGTGAGCAGGGCTTGTCCTTAGGACACTGGTTCAGTGCAAGGGAGATAAAAGCAAGAATGGGATGAGTGAGTTGTTCTGAGTAACACTGAACTGATTTCCTGGCAGCTGAGGAACTTCACCCAGCTCACACCAAGTGTAAACCTTATATTTTTGGCCCAGTTTTTAGAAGCATCCCTTTGGATCAGCAATACAGAGGATGCTGCTATTGTGGGACTGGCACGAGGACCGGACTGGAGCCTTTGGTAAGCAATTCCTGTGGGAACAGCATGGTCTGCACACATGGAAAAGTTTCAGGAATGAGAAACACACCCAGAGAGCAGCCAGCTGACCATGCACCGAATGCTGTGCTCACCGTCAGTGCTGCAGGGACAGACAGAGGATGAGGGAGGAACTGCCTAGGAATGGAGGGCAATAGGAATATCCTGACCCACTCCTCATGTCAGAGACCTGCTTTTACATGATTAGCCCTACTGGAGTCTGAAACGTGGAAGAGAGCAGCAGAAGGTGGCTTCAAGTTATCACATGAGCAAAGACATATTTATAATTACATAAATTCCAAATAGTAGAGCTCAGCACTCACAAACCCTTTGTATGTTTTCCAAGTGCTTTCCATTCACTGGGAAATTATTGCAATATACACAAGAAATCAGGAAGGTGGCTTGGATAATTTTCAATTAGCTGCTTGAAAATGCTTTGAAGATAAATCTAGACAGATTTTCTGAGTCTATTCACTTGTTCCAGCTTATCTGTGCAAATACAATTGGCTGCAGCTGCCTGAGACCATCTTTAAAAACTTGCAGTGCCAATGTACAGAGCAGATTTAACCCGGACACTGCTTTTTGCCATGGCACAGATTAACCAGACAAAAGGGTCTTTTATGCTAATTCCTAACTCCCCCTCCCTAATGTCACTCTTGCTTTAATGTCTTTTTCCTACTCATATATTTGGCCAATGCTGGGAAGGTTTCCACGCTGGCACAGCACTGTGCTCTCCATCACTGTCACTGCCCACGGAGCTGAGTGTTTCCAGATACATTTTCCCAACCTCTAGCTCTGCATGGTGTTATTTCCCATCATTTGGATTCTTACAACCCATTAAAGAATGTTCTATATTCAGCACACTCTTTCTGCATGAGCTGCTGGTCAGCTCTTCCTAAAGATTACCAGTTAGTTCCTACAGCTTTCTTTGTTCCAAGCAGAAGATGCAGTCAGGCAAATCCTTTATGATGTAAGAAATTAAACAAAATGAGCAAAACCCAAATAAAGAACGTGAGACATGCGATTCTCTGGTGTTTCTAAAGATAGAAGCACTAAAATGCAAAAAATTCAACATCCTGTGTTACACAACTCAAGGATGTTGAGAATAGATGTATTTCAGAATAGATGCATTTCATTCATGTTGACACTTACCACGGTTTACAGGCACTTACACTTTTTTATATTTATGGTTTGATCAATATAAAGGTAGAAACAAATAAGAGAACCAGATGGAATGTTACCATGAAACTACCT